CTGGCCACCAATATTCAGAAGTCTAAAACTACTCACCGTAAAGAACATCCATACTTATTCTTGTGCCTACTACATGATTATGTCGGAGGATCTCACCTTCAAGGACCATAACATTGTATCAATCGCATCTGCTAGAAAAATGACAGGATGGATAATGAGAACCTTCAAAACTAGGGAGGCCAAGCCCATGATGACACTCTTCAGGTCACTTGTTCTATCTAGGCTGGAATATTGCTGCACTCTAACAGCACCTTTCAAGGCAGGTGAAATTGCCGACCTAGAAAATGTACAGAGAACTTTCACGGCGCGCATAACGGAGATAAAACACCTCAATTACTGGGAGCGCTTGAGGTTTCTAAACCTGTATTCCCTGGAACGCAGGAGGGAGAGATACATGATTATATACACCTGGAAAATCCTAGAGGGACTAGTACCGAACTTGCACACGAAAATCACTCACTACGAAAGCAAAAGACTTGGCAGACGATGCACCATCCCCCCAATGAAAAGCAGGGGTGTCACTAGCATGTTAAGAGACCATACAATAAGTGTCAGGGGCCCGAGACTGTTCAACTGCCTCCCAGCACACATAAGGGGGATTACCAACAGACCCCTGGCAGTCTTCAAGCTGGCACTGGACAAGCACCTAAAGTCAGTTCCTGATCAGCCGGGCTGTGGCTCGTACGTTGGTTTGCGTGCAGCCAGCAGCAACAGCCTGGTTGATCAGGCGCTGATCCACCAGGAGGCCTGGTCACAGACCGGGCCGCGGGGGCGTTGACCCCCGAAACTCTCTCCAGGTAAACTCCAGGTAGAACACTGCACCCAAACATAAACCCTCCACTTAAACTTCTCACCAATCTTAACAGGACACACAACCATAACATGAGACACAGGTCACTTTTTGATGCACCCTGTGTCCATATCGCACTGTGTAAGAACTCTATTCACATAAAGGGTCCCAAAATTTGGAATACATTACCAGTAAATACTAAAGTAACCTGGTCAGAACATCAATGTCCCAATGTAATATCCCCAGATTGTAATTTGAGTAAACTTACTATCTGCTATAAATAAAAACAGATGTACAACTTAAAAAAAAACTATGATCAATTTCTCTAGTATTAACCCTTTGACTGTTTTGGTTGTATATATATGTCTTATGAGCCAATGTGTTCTAGCGGCTTCAAATCAAGCAGGAGAAAGCTGGTAGGCCCACATGTGAGAGAATGGATCTGTGTGGTCAGTGTGTGCAGTATAAAAAAAACCTGCAGCACGCAGTGCATAATGAGAAAAAAAACTCCAACCGTGTTTTTGGATTAACCCATTGACTGTTTCAGTCGTATATGTACGTCTTATGAGCCAATGTGTTTGACGTATATATACTCAAAAATTCTAGTGGCTTCATATCAAGCAGGAGAAGGTTGTTAGGCCCACATGTGAGAGAATGGGTCTGTGTGGTCAGTGTGCACCATATAAAAAAATCCTGCAGCATAATGAGAAAAAAAAACTCCGACCGTGTTTTTGGATTAAAATGCCGACTTTGAGGTGTATTTTTGTATAGTATTTATGGTTGTATTCTTGTTTTCTTGGTCTTATTTGATACAATGGAAAACATATAGAAATAGAAGTGATTTTGATTGGTTTTACTATGAATAGGATTTTGAAATGGAGCTCAAAGTGGCAGAAATGTTCGATTTTTGCCGATGTTCAAGAGTAAACAAATGACATCATTGTTCAATAAATGTCCAACTAGCCATTCTAATATGCAGTCATGAATGGGTTGACGTTATTTATACAATTATTACAATATTGCAGTAGTCTGCATAACAGTAAATCTTCTATTTTTTGTGTGAATAGAAATTCAAAATAGAAAGCAAGAATATTATAACAGGGGCCTGGAGATGTGACTGATGAACAGAGAAAATGTTATTTTAGTGCCAGGAATGTCTGAATTGTTCATTCTGGACCCTGTTTTGAAATCGGCACATTTTTTAATTTGCATGAAATTGGCCAAATTGCCAATTTCTGACCACTTTATTGGGCAAATGGGCGGTTTCTTGTACTCAATCTATAGAACTAATGGAGTTCTCAAGAAATAGCTATGAGTTTGGTGGCCTGGATCAATGGAATTGACCGAAAATAGGGCTCAAAGTGGGCATAAATGTCGCCGAGGTAGCTAATTTTGTGAGAGCGTAATTCCGTAAGTTTTCCATCAAATTTCATACTTTTGGTGTCATTATCATCAGGAAAAGATTCTCTACCATTTCATAAAAAATAATTTTTTTTTTTTTCAAATATTTTGTGATACCAGGAGACACTTCAGGATTTGGGGTTGCAACAGTCAAAGGGTTAAATAGTCTGAAAGCCATTAAATTTAGTCTGCCCATAATGCCATGGTATTATAGTGGCTCTCTTTGCACTGCAACTCATTATTGTAATTACATAATCTCAATGTAAACTTGCAAAGAAATAAAAATTTGTATTTGTAAGTGTGTGCTCTCTGTCACCTCAAAGCAGCGGTGGAACAGGTGCTTGGCAAAGAGCTTCTTGAAATTAGAAATCACCTGCTGGTCCATGGGCTGCAGGATAAGGGTGGTGTTGGGTGGAGGGTAGAGAACCTTTATAAACTTGAACTCTTTGAGGATGTTGTCTTCGAGGTTTGGTGGGTGAACAGGTGCATTGTCCAGGATGAGAATGGCTTGCATGGGTAGGTTATTTCCCTGGAGATACTTCTTAATGGCAGGACCAAGGATCAGGTTTACCCACTCCACAAAGAACTGCCTGGTGACCCATGCCTTCAGGTTTGCCCTCCACATAACTTGCAGTTTTTCTTTTAGAATCTTTTGTGACTTAAAGGCTTTGGAGTGTTCTGAATGATATACGAGCAAAGGCTTGATCTTGCAGTCACCACTCACATTAGTGCACAGTGTGAAGGTTAACCTATCCTTCGTGGGTTTGTGGCCTAGCATCTTCTCCTCTGCATTTATATAAGTCCTTGGCATCTTCTTCCAGAAGAGTCCTTTCTCATCACAGTCGAAGGCTTGCTAAGGGATGTATCCTTCAGCTGCTATCAAGTTTTGAGGTAATCCTCAGCTGCCTTCACATCCGAGCTCACTGCCTCACCATGCCTAATGACAGAGTGAATGCCAGTCCTCCTTTTAAAATTGTTGAACTAGCCCCGACTGGCTTTAAACAACTTCCAATGCCTCGTCCGTTGAAGCGCCTGGGGTCTGCTGTAGCAAATCAGAGTAAATGCTTCATGCCTTCTCGCAGAGGATACCCTCTGTCACAGTATCCTGTGAGCTGCTTCTCCATCAACCACATCAACAGCAGCTTCTCCATCTTTTCAGGGACAGAGGTCTGCAGCTTAGAAATTATTTTAATGCCCTTGGCTGGCATTATAGCCTTTATCAACTTCTGCTTTAGTATGGTACATACCGTAGAAGTACTATGCTCGTACTGCCTCACCAAGTCAACTACATGCACACTTTTCTCGTGTTTTTCTATGATTTCATGCTTTAATTCAATGGACATCATCCTCTTCTACTCAGCAGTGTCCTTTGCACTTACTTTCCTAGGACCCATGGTTAGAAAAAGGAAATTTGGCAAAATAACTGCACAAAGAGCACAAAACGCAAGCACAACACAAAAGAGATGCTTCCATGGCGAGGTAACCATGTGCACTGAACGATTGAGATGCTGGAAGCTGGGCAGATGTTGTGGCGTTTACTGAGCCAACTAGTGGTGGCATATCTGAAGCTCGCTCGTAACTCAGATTCTGGCTCACAACTCAAAGCAAAAAATCTGCCGAGCAATGGCTCATAACTTAGAAAACTCATAAGTTGGGGCACTCATAAGTTAAGGTACCATTGTATTTTGTGTTTTTAAATTCGTTTTGTTTTTTTGGTTGGTTGTTTACAGTATGTTTTTTCTCTGTTATTTAAAGTTTTTCTCTGTTAAACTGTGCATTATTTTGTGTAATTAAGATTTTTCAAACTTTGTTTATTTTTTCTGTGCTTAAAATTCTTAAAAAAAAAAAAAGCTGTTTACAGTGAACGGTCCATAGGGGTCTAGAATGGGCTCGTGCAATGTTAGTTTTCTCTCTTGTTCAAGGTTTTCTCAGTGCTATTCAAGGTTCAAGGTCTTTACATTTAGTTTACTGTTACACTGTGTATTCTGTGGTATAATTAACTATTTTTGTTCTTAAAAATCTTAAAAAAACAATATTTACATACAGTTTGTAGGGGTCTGGAATGGATTAATCATATTTACATACAGTCCAATAGGGAAATTAGGTTTGGGTCACGACCAAATCAGGTCGCGACCAGAGTTTTGGAATGAATTATGGTCATGACAAGAGGTTCCAGTGTACTACCATTCTGCCAAGTGAGTGTGAAACAGAAACATGTAATTGTTTTCCATGATAGTAGGTTTGCTGGTGTCTTTTCTCTTTCTCATAAACACGTGGGATAACAGGTACATCTTGCTACTTCTAATTACACTTAGGTCACATTACACATGCATGTACACACATATATACATGTATACATATCCATCTGGGTTTTCTTCTATTTACCTAACAGTTCTTGTTCTTTTCTATTTCCTCCTATCTCCATGGGAAAGTGGAAAAGAATTCTTCCTCTGTAAGCCATGTGTGTCATAAGAGACGACTAAAATGCCAGGAGCAAGGGGCCAGTAACCCCTTCTCCTGTATTAATTTCTAAATTTAAAAAGAAAAACCTTTGCTTTTCTTTTTTAGGTCACCCTGCCTCAGTGGGATATGGCCATTTCATTGAAAAAATCTGGTCACATCATAACGAATTACTTATACAGACATGAATTAGGTCACACACACATGCAAAAATTCATGTCTGCATAAACCATGATTATAGAAAATAATAAATTTGTAGGTACCCTTTCTTTGTTGCACTAACATTACTTCATAACTTAGAACTTGTAACTGGAATCGTTCATGTTTCTTAACATATTCCTTTTCTCAGGTGCATCAATAATCAGAGCCTACAAAAAACAGGACAAATTCTTCAAAGAGTCATTGAAGCTGTTAGAGAACAGCCAGAAATCTCTCTATGCCAACATTGCTGTTAATAGGTAATCTTGATTTACAATAAAATTCTTTTATGAGTGAAAGAATATTTGTGCAAAATATTGCATGTATGTTTTCGTGTATATTCACATATCTATTCACTTTAATATTTAGCTTTAGATTTAGATTTAGCTTTGACTTCTGGGCCAGTCTGATGTATCCCTGACCCCATAAGTTATATCATATTTTTACTTCTCTATATGCTTTCACTACCTTATACTTAAAAAATGCCTTCTTCTTTCTCTTTGGTTTACTTTAGTGTCTTTCCGTATGTTACCTTTTCTTACTCTCACTCTTTTCAAATGATCTGTTTACTGTCTTCAATGTTGTAATGAATACAGTCAGCCATCTATTTACTGCATTCAGTATTTATTTATTTATTTATTTATTTGAACATAATACAGGAAAGTACAAAGGAATACGGTTATTAAAGTGCAACATGCCAAAGCCCCTTGTATGCAAAGCATTATGGGCAGGCTTAAAATTAACTTAAGATTAACTAAGCAATGATATAGTCAGTGGTAAAAACATTATTGTAAACAGATAACAATTAAGCACAAATGAGTATTTCAAAGACAGGTCATATGGTCATTTACTATGTTGCTGTGCATTCAATAGAATGGAGTATTCTGTTTGGTAATGTAATTAAAAAAATAACAAAGTTTGATTGGGTCACAGATTAGACATTTATGAGATACAATAATGAGAAACATTTATGAGATACAATTTATGTGATACAATTATTCAGTATTTATTTAGTTGTGGGTGAGTAAGTGATTTTTGAGAAGAGACTTAAATTTATAAACTGACAGTGTTTCTTTTATATTCACAGGTAGTGAATTCCAGATTTTAGGGCCTTTTATGTGCATTGAGTTTTTGCATACCGTGAGGTGGACACGAGGAACATCAAAGAGTGATCTGTGCATTGTGTGACGGTCATGTGTTCTGTTGAGGTTGGTAAGGAGAAGTTTGAGGGGAGGGTTTATATCAGAATTAAGTGTTCTATGTATGTAGGAGGTGCAGTAATAAGTATGGATGTTTTGTATGGTGAGCAGGTGTAGAGTTTAGAATATTGGTGGAGTGCGCTGCATGTAGTGAGAATTTGTTATCATTCTGACTGCAGCCTTTTGTTGGGTAATTAATGGTCTGAGATGGTTTATTGTTGAGCCCCATGCACAAATTCCATAGGTGAGATAGGGGTAAATAAGTGAGTGATATAGGGCCAGGAGGGCTGACTGTGGAACATAGTACTGTATCTTCAATAGTATGTTTACAGTCTTGGAATTTTTTTTGGAAATTTGTTGTATATGTGTTTGAAATTTGAGTCTATTATCAAGGTGGATTCCTAAGAATTTTCCCTCTGTGAGCTTTGTGATAGATGATCTGTTTATCATTATGTTAAGAGGGGCATCTGTAGCTCTGTTACCAGACTGAATGAAGTAGGTTTTGTCAATGTTGAGAGTAAGTTTGTTAGACCTCATCCAGGTAGATATTTTCTGTAATTTGGTATTCACAGTATTGGCTAGCATGACTGGGCTTGGGTGAGAGAAGACTATGTAGTGTCATCTGCAAATAGTGTGGGTTTGAGTAGTTGCAATGCATTTGGAGGGTCATTTATGTAAATGAGAAAGAGAAGAGGGACCAAGGACACTTCTCTGTGGGACACCAACTGTAATTGGCTGTGTGGAATAGTTTGCTCCATTTGTGTAGACATACTGGCTTCTGTTGCTGAGGTATGACTTTAGGTAGTTGACGGAGTGCCTTCTTATACCACAGTACGACAATTGTGGAGCAAGTCATGGTCAACTGTATCAAAAGCTTTATGTAAATCAATGAAGATCCCCAGTGGGACTTCTTTTTTCTCTAGTGCAGAGTATATTTGTTCTAGTATGTGTATAATAGCATCATTCATATTTTTATTAGGCCTGAACCCAAACTGACAGGGGTTGAGTATGTTGTGGGAGATGAGGCAGGAATAGATTCACTTATGAATTAATTTTTCAAAGATTTTAGAGAGAGGGTGTAAGTTGGATATTGGCCTATAGTTATTCAAGTCTGTTTGGTCTCCTCCTTTATGGATCGGGTGACCCTCGCTATTTTGAGAACTGTAGGGAAGGTAGAGGATTTGATGGATTTGTTGAAGAGTGTTGCAATGATTGGTGACAGCACTTGCAACGCTTTTTTGTATATAAAGGGTGGTAAGGTATTTAAATCTCCTGTCTTGTTTTTTGGTGTGTTGATAATAAGGGAGACTTCTGTTGGGTTAGCGGAGCTAGGAACAGTGTGTTTGGGTAGTTGCCAGTGAGGTAGTCATTGGGTGGGGTATTTGAGCTTGGGATTTTATTGGCTAGGTTTTTTCCTATGGTGGAGAAGAAATCATTGAGTCTGTTTACTGTTTCAGTTGGTGCGAGTAGGGGTTCATCCTGTTTTGTTAGTTCAGTTGTGCTATTTCGTGATATCTTTTTTGTTCCTAGAATTTCTGATAGGGTTTTCCAGGTCTTTTTTATGTCACCTTTTAAGTTGGATAATCTGTTCTCATAATACAATTTTTTGCCCATCTTCTCAGGCTGGTTAGGATTGATGAGTAACGTTTTGTTTGGTCTCTGGTTATGTGACCCATTCTGTACTGTTTTTCATATAGGTGCTTTGTATTTATGGATTTGAGGATGCTGGGTGTTAGCCATGGACTGTTCAGTCTCTTAGCTGTCATCTGTTTAGTTTTTTTAGGGCAGTGCTTGTTATAGCATTGCCCTGTATAGATTTCTAGCTCAGTGTGCCAGTCAATGTTTATCACTGCTGTTGTGAAGTTATTAATGGCTGCCTCATTGTGAAGTCTGAAAGTGACTTTAGCAGTGTCTTGGGGTAATTTGCCTAGATTAGTTATGAGGAAGGTAGGGTAGTGGTCTGTGGTATTATCTGTGATTATGCCTGATTTTAAAGGGGATATGGTGTTGGTCCAGATGTGGTCTAGTAGGAAAACACTAGTCTCTGTACTTCTTGTAGGTTTTGTTACTATTGGTAGCAACAAGCAGTTACTCATAGTGTTTGTGAATTCAGTAATGTGTGGGTCCTGATCTTGCAGGAGATTTATATTGAAGTCATCTGAGAGTAGTAAGTGATCTTTATTCATGCATGCATCAGTTATCATACTTCCTAGGTTTTCACTAAAATGGCTAATGTTTGACTGTGGTACTCTGTAGATGTTTATCACTGTGAGAGGTTTTTGTAGATATTTGGATTTGAATTTAGCTATTATACATTCCCCATGTTCATCCCTTGTGCAAGTATTAGTGATACATTCTAGTTGGTCTGAGTAGTATATAGCTGTGCCACCCCCTTGTTGATCTAGCCTACAGTTGTGTATGGCTGTGTAACCAGGAATGGCATAGACATCTGTAGTATCAGACTTTAGCCAGGTTTTGGTGAAAGTAATGATGGATATACTCGCATGCAGGGAATTTAGTAATGCTATGAGGTCATCATAATGTTTACTTAAAGATCTGATATTGTAGTTAAAGACAGTTATGTTGTTGTTGGCTCTGAGAAGTGCCTTTGATTGTTCTGATGTGTAGTAATTACAGTTACTCTTTGATTCATTTAAGTCATTCAATAAGAGGTTGGTATCAGGATCAATGCTTGTTATCATAAGATTTATAGTGAATCTATAGTTAGAATTAAGTATAAGACAAAGTAAATATTCTAAAGCTAAAAAATAGCACCTGAATTATTTTAACAAATGTAAAAATATGAGCTAAGGTAGTTCTTTAAGGAGACAATATAAAAGGGACTAAAACAATTTGTGGTGAGCAAATAAAGTGATGATCAAATAAAGGAGCTTGGGAATATAATAGTAGGTAGGTCTTTAACTGCTTGAGGGTCCATGCCGTAGATCTACGGCTTTACGTTGAGGGTCCAAACCGTAGATCTACATCATGAGCTCAGCTCACTCTGATAAGCTGTGAGTGGTAAATTTTGGCCTAGATATGAGAGAATACATCTATGTGGTACGTGTGCACCACATAAAACAAATCCTGCAGCACACAGTGCATAATGAGAGAAAAATAACTGAGACCGTAATTTTCGATTAAAACAGCGAATTTGCAGTGGTTTTTCGTATGCTTTTTATAGTTGTATTTGCAATTTCTTGGTCTCATTTGATAGAATGGAAGATATATTACAGAAATAGAGAGGATTTTGATTGGTTTTAGTACTGAAAATGGCTTGAAACTGAGCTCAGAATAGCAGAAATGTTAAATTTTTGCCAATGTTCAAGAGTAAACAAATGACTTCACATGTCTAATACACACCAGCTGGTGGGTCTAATATACATTCACAAATGTGGTGATATTATTTATACAATTATTACAATATTGCATAACAGTAATCTTCTATTTTTTGGTTTGAATAAAAATTCATTATGTGAATAAAAAATCAAAATGGAATTCATTAGTAAAGCCTGAAAACATAACTAATAAACAGGGAAAATGTTAGTTTAGTGCCAGGAATGTCTGCATTGTTTATTCTGGACCCTATTTTGAAATTGGAGCATATTGAATTTTGCATTAAATTGGCCAAATTACCAATTTCCGATCACTTTATTTTGTAGTTTAAACAGTTGACTTGGTGAATTCTTGTTCTCAGTCGATAGAATAGAGGTAATACTAATGAAATAGCTAAGAATTTGGTCAACTGGAATAATGTAATTGGCCTAAAATGAGAGTCAAAGTCGGCAAAATTGCTGATGCTTAAATATCGCTGACACATCAAAATTCGCGAGAGCATAATTTCGTCAATTTTCCATCAAATTTCGTACTTTTTGTTTTATTATCTTCAGAAAAAGATTCTCTACCATCTCATAAGAAAAAATAACAAAATTATTTTTTGAAAATTCTTGGACACTGGTGCACACTTTGAAATTTGGCCTCTGGACCCTGAAAGGGTTAAAGGTAGTCCTTTAAAGTTAAAATAAAGGAGACAATATAAAAGGGACTAATATAAGTTGTGG